AAAAAAAAAAAAAAAAACTGCAAAGGAAGTAGAGTTCCTCTTTCCTCATATATGAATATATTATTTCAACAGATACATTGTTGATTACCTACCATATGCCTGGTATTGTTCTAATTGTTAGGGATACAGCAAGAGGTTCTGCAGAACTTCATGGAGCATGAAAGTAAATAAACAAAGTTAATTTCAAGGCCAGGCATGGTTGCTCACACCTGTAATCCCGGCACTTTGGGAGGCTGAAGCAGGCAGATCACTTGAGCCCAGGAGTTCATGGCTGCAGTGAGCCAAGATTGTGCTACTACTCTCCAGGCTAGGCAACAGAGCAAGACCCTGTCTCGGGGGGGGGAAAAAAAAAGTTAATTTCAGATTTTGTGAAGTGCTATAAAGGAAATAAATGGGTTGATATTCAAGAAAGCACCTGAAGGCCGGGTATGGTGGCTCACGCCTATAATCCTAGCACTTTGGGAGGCCGAGGTAGGTGGATCACAAGGTCAGGAGATTTTTGGCGGGGCATGGTTGTTCATGCCTGTAATCCCAGTACTTTGGGAGGCCAAGGCTGTTGGATCACTTGCCAACATGGTGAAACCCCATCTCTACTGAAAATACAAGTATTAGCTGGGCATAATGGCGCATGCCTTTAGTTTGAGCTACTCAGAAGGCTGAGACACAAGAATCGCTTGAATGGGAGGTAGAGGTTGCAATGAGCCAAGATTGCACCACTGCACTCCAGCCCCGGTGACGGGGTGAGACTCCATCTCAAAAAAGAAAAAAAAGTAAAAAAGAAGAAAGAATTTCATACATTATCTTATTTAATCTCATAAGAGTCTGCAAAGTTTATTTTATAATTCCCATTTTACAGAGAAAACCAGTGTTCAGAAAAGTAAATTACTTGTTTGTGGTCTTACAGTTTGGAAATGGGGGCTGGGGTTTGAATATGTTTAATTCCAAAGCCAGATAAGATAAATCCTTTTTCAGTGTATTGCATTGCCTCTATTAACCAAAAAGAAAGCAAAAAATAATGAGTTGTCAGAGTAAATGGTTTTGATTCTCATTTTAACCTGACAGAAATACATATTTTTTTTTTCTTTTAAAGTACTGCTCTTGTTTATCACTGGAGTATTACACATTCAAATATGCTTGTTTTATTTTGCTTGTTTTAATATATGCTTGTTTTATTTTGGGGATATTTGTTGTATAAGAAAATAGAGGAATATGCCTTTTTGTCCAAGCTAAATAAAACAACTTCAGTATCCATTTTTATTGTTTTTTATTTAATGATGGTTCTACTTTTAAAATACCACAGCAAAAATATCTTACAGGTATTTCTAGCCTTTTCAAATTATGTGCCTTCTAAGTGTGCTATTTATTTATTTCACAAATATTTGTTAACATCTGTATGCAAGTTACTTTATAAGTGTCTGTTGAATTAACTTTCGTAAATGTAATAGCAAAAACATTATACAGGGTTCTGTAAATAGCCATAAAGTTAATCTTAGGGGGAAATTTTTTTCTTGTGCCAGCACTTATTGAGCACTTAACTGTATTATCTGTAAGTCTCACAATAACTCAGTAAGGCAGATACCGATCCCCACTTAACAGAGGAAGGAACTGAGGCACAGAGAGCCTATGTAATTCATCTGCGATCACCATCTCATACATGATGGATTTACACCTAAGGTAGATTTAAATCCCTCACGATCATAGGTTTTCTGTCATAAGTATTAAAAGTTTCTATTAAACAACAAAATAGTTTATAGGGAAATATAATATTTGTCCTGTCTAGTATTTTAAATTAAATCCTTAATGTTGTCCAATGAACCATACATAAAAATTCGTAGCCATTTTTTGTGTGTGCCTTAAACTAGAACTAGCTGCAGTTAAAACCCAGATTCTAATTTTACAAACAAGGCCACCTCTAACAATATTAAAATAAAATGATATTATTCCCTGGCTTAAAGAAAAATT